CCCCCCCCCCCCCCCGGGGGAGTAATGAAAGACAGCGTATGAGCTAGTGGAAATGAAAGTCAGCCAGGCCTACAAATAGACGAAAAGCTGGCTCTCGCCCCTGTAAGACAACCAAGACCACTGTTAAGTTTTCTAACATGTGAATTAATTCTTCAGAGCCTCCTTGTGACGGTAACGGTCGTACCTGCTACTTTATAAATGACCCCTGTCCACCTGGAACTAATGATTGCTCCAGTCAGTACAGTTGTACATTGGAAACCAACAAATGTTGCTGCCCCGGTACGGTCAATATCACCGAGATGATGTTATTCTTACCCTAAATAGAATCAAAGCCAAATAGTTATTCCTTGTATGAAACTATTAAAGGAAGAAACACAGAGGCCTGGTGTCAAAAGCTACTGCTTGCAGTTTGGATGCATGTACCTTTGACAATCTTCGACATTAAAGTTGATGACTTGTGTAGGACGTTCATATTTGTGAGCCTTTCCTAGAAAAGTATGGATGAAAGGCCTAAGTAATCCGTTTCCAAGATAAAGGCCTCTAAAATCTCTTGCAAATACGAAATCTTGGCATTTGATATGAAACAGAAGCGCTGGCTTCTTGCATGTTTTACAAACGCAACAAAATGTCTTTTGCTTATTTTCTAGTCTTAGGATCCATCGCCTTTGTAAAGGTTGAAGCAACGACGGATTTCCCCAACCAACGTAAAGGAAAACTACACCTAAAGATCGTTCTGAGTGATGACTCTGAGCACCTAGCAGAGTTGAGAGGTAGGGACGTGAAGGATGAGCAATACGTGGAAGAGTTGAACACCGAAAGTGATTTTGACCCACAACTCGACTGCACTCATAAAGACATACGAGAAGTTTATCTCATGGCTGAAGAAAATAATAAATGGTACGTTGCATCGATCAACACCTACACCAAGGAATCGGGAAGTGCCGAATACACTCAGCTTACCGCTGATCCAGGCTTCAGTATGTGGGTGGATGGCAGTGAGGAAAACGAATACCCATACAATGCCGCAGAGCACCGCCTCACCAATGCTATCGCCGGATCCTGTATCACGTACATACGTGTAGCTTCAGTGATGGGACAAATCGAGCCACCTGATTCCTCGGAAACCTTCTCTTTAGGTATCCAATTACACGACGGCCAAGACCTTCGAGCAGAACTTATAGGACCTACTCAATCAAACCAAAGGTATAGGCGAGAGCTGAACTTCCGAAGCTGGTTTTGGACCACAGAGTGCGTCTCGATATCCGACATCAAGAAGGTTTACCTAAGCGCTCATCGTCAAGGAGACAAAAGGTGGAACATAAAATCATTTGGCACTTCTTTTAAGACTGGTCAAGTGGAGTACATGGACCTGACAAGTAATCCACACCTTGAGAAGCGGCTTGGCTTTAGAGGAAAGGAATGCATCAAACTAACATCGGCATGGGAACAAACCGTCAATTGTGAATACGGTAATCCATCGTGTGAATGCGTGAGTTCTGTAGCCGTCTGTACGTTTAACCTTGAAATTGACGAAATTCGAACCTTCACCAGCTATCAGAAATTATCAGTGGATGAACCTACAGGAATAGCTATGCGTGGATCCCAGGGAGTAATCTATTATTTCGATGATCTCGGAAGACCTCAGCCACTACAAACCAATCGAAGTTGTGCAACATTGGACAGCTCCACATGCACTAACCCCCAGTTCGTAGATGGTAAAACGTACCGTATGGGAATAGCCGTCAATGGACAAATTCCTGGACCTACCTTGATTGTCCACGAAGAACAAAGCGTTGTAATTCATGTTCATAACAACCTTACCTCTGAAGGGATTTCAATTCATTGGCATGGGATGCACCAGAGGGGAACACCTTGGATGGATGGTGTGGGACAAGTGACTCAATGTCAGATAGGACCCTCGTCGAGCTTTTCATACGAGTACATTGCACGGCCATCTGGGACATTTTGGTACCACTCTCACAGTGGTGCTCAAAGAACAGATGGCTTCTATGGTGCACTCATAGTCAAAGAAAGCCCCTGGAGAAGGAGACTAATTCGTAACAGACTTCCTCACAAATACCGTAACTTTGAAGATCTTCCAGATCAGCACACCTTAACTCTTCTGGATTGGCAGCATGAGGCATCCTTGGACCTGTTCACACAGGTCCATGCAGACTTAGGCTTCTATCCAGACAAGCCGCTTGGCGAGGTACCAACACCAAATGATACACCGTATCAAGGCACTCGTAGTTTTGACAATGGAGGGGCTGGGCCTGTCCCGTACTTTTCTGGAATCGTAAATGGAAAAGGCAGGCATGTTGATGTTCCATACCGCAAAACAAGACTGAGTATATTCACTGTTGAGCGGGGAAAGATTTATCGCTTTCGGCTAATTGGGGCTCAATCGCTTTTATCTTACAGCTTCTCCATTGATGGTCATAAGCTAACAGTGGTGGGCACTGATGGCTATTGGATTGAGCCCGTGGAAGAGGTTGACTACATCATGATCCATCCCGGAGAAAGATATGACTTTCTGCTCGAAGCAGATGCGACAAATAACAATTACTGGATGCTCGCAGAGACTATGGAAGTTAATCAAACTACTGGGCCACCCTATGAGTCACTGGGACATGTGGCAGAAGCTATTTTGCACTACAAACAGGATGGCGACTCGGATGATCCGGATGATAATGTACCGTCGACAAAATATAAAGAGATAAAAGACAGTTCTCCGGTCAGAGAGTGCACTCAAGAGGAGCCATGCAACGCAGTGAACTGCCCTTTCATGAAATTTCATGATTCCTACAACATAAACTGTATTAATGTACACAACCTCACTTTACTGGAGCCAACTCCAAGTAGGGAGCTTCCAGATCCATACCCTAAATGCCCAAATTGTAGACATTTTCTCAACTTTCATTTCGAGGGGGAAAAACAGACCAGTTCAGTGAATGGACGCAATTTTATTCTTCCCTCTTTCCCACCCCAAACCCAATACGAAGACTTTCAACAACGGGACAATATCTGTAGCCTTGCAGCTGATTGCAATCCATCAACAACCGACTGCTCATGTGTCCACGTGATACAAATTCCATACAACAGAACTATTCAAATGGTGTTTTCATCAATTGGTCCTACCCCCAGTGCTCATCCAATTCATCTCCATGGCCATACATTTCATGTTGTTCACGTTGGATATCCAACATATGACTCCAGCACTGGTTTTATCAGTGAATCCAACAGCGACATAGCCTGCGATGATGTCAACTGCACTAAAGAGGGCTGTAACCCGAAAAGCTGTACCATGCCAAGATGGAATGAACCAAGTACAATGAGGTTTACCATCAACACACATACGATCAGAAAAGACACAGTTATGGTCCCTGCTGGTGGATACGTTGTTATAAATTTCCTATCTGATAACCCTGGCCAGTGGTTTCTTCACTGCCACAAAGAACTGCACCAGCTCGAAGGAATGGCGGTAATTGTTAATGAGGCTATAAATAGGCAACAGACAATGCATCCACCCACTGGCTTGAACAAGTGTGGGGACTTTGACATAAATTATAATCAAACCGTATGGTAAGTGTCAATCACAAAGCTAAGGAATGAACAATTCATTGGTAAAGAATAGGTCTTAGTGTTAGTAGCTATTAGCCTCAACATAACTACTAATTACAAAAGATTCTGTAGCAAAGTATATGCCATAAACCGCACTTCTCTAAATCGCCAGTATCACACAACTAGCAAAAGCTGATGACGTCATGATGGCGGCTGCAAAGAGAACTACATTTTGACAATCAAAGAAAAGAGTTGATTTTCCTTTATTTTTCCCGCACTGCTCTCTCAAAGAATACAGCTCTCATAGCATTTCGTGTTCCTCCAAACTTCCATTTGCGTTTTAGTTAGGTGGTAAGAACATCGAACATTTATTTTCCTTCTTGAACAAAAATCTGACCAATTTCCAGTGCCCAGTAATTAGTAAGTGGTATATTAATTTGGGTTCTCTACGTTTTTGACGTGTATTTGACCACGTACCCTGATTTTGGTGGATTTTTAAGATCCAGCATTAAGTATTTTAGTCTGTATCGCGATCCTCTTATAGTTTTGCTTACGAGAGAGACATTAATATAACGCGGTATTATCGTCTCACTTTTCGGCCTAGTTGAAAATTTGAAATTGACATTGATGACTGTTTAAAAATTTGAAATTGACATCGCGGCACTGCATTGGGTTGCTAACGTAAGCTTCAATAAGTAAGAACTGATTTGGTTTGTAATGATTGGATCGCAATACAAAACTAATTGCGATTTTGAGCCGCCAATAACGCATTATATTGGCGGCGTTGGGAGATAACTTAGTATATTCTCGAATTCGGCCTCGTCGCTTTGCGACTCCGCCCAATTCTTTGCTCACCTTTTGAAATCACCAACCTGATTTTTTCAAATTCAAATTGAGCATTTTATACTAGAGTGAGGCACTTTAGGTGCATAGTAATTGGTACTAGAAAGTAACATTTTTTTAATCTAAGTGCATTTAATTACTTCCTTGAATTTTTGTGGATCTCTTTAAGACCCAGAATTAAATATTTCAGGCTAGAATCGAGTGAGTCAATTCCAATACTCGTTGACTAGTAAGTAGTATTTGTTTGCATTCATCGGTCTTGTTGACGAGTTTCGTCATCTTTTTTCAATCACCTAGTCGATTTATTATGTTGTTATGAATTAAGTATTTTAGACTAGAGACTTTTAAGAAATTTAATAATCAGTTAGTAGTATTTTTTTGTATCTATAGGCCTTGCTGAATAATTTGAACCGTTTTTTGATGGGTGTTTAATTACTTGAGTTTCTGTAGATCTTTTGAAATCTACAACTAAGTATGTTACACAAGAGGTAGTCAACTCGAACACTCAGCAAGTAGTAAGGAGTACTTTTTGTATGTATTGTCTTTGCTGTGTTCTCTAATCACCTACCTAGTTTTTGAGGATAAGATCCATAATAAGGTATTTTAGACTAGATTGAGTCGATTCGAACACTTCGTAACTAGCGAGAAGTGTTTTTCTATTAATATTAATAAAAGCTTTGTATCTACTAACTACACACTTGATTTGTTGTGGATCTTGTAAGATCCATATTCGAGTAGTTTAGACTACAGTGAGTCACTTCGATTAGCAGCATTTGTTTGTTTTGTATCCAAACACTTTGCTGTAGACTTTTCTTCTTCGTTCACGAGTTAATTTACGTATTTCAAATTAACGCGATTTGAAGGTAAAAAGGAAATTAACGCGAGAGAGGGGGTAAATTTCAAAATAAGGGAAATTAACGCGTACGCTACATCAAAAAAATGCCAAGAATTTGTTGAGAACAGGAACAAATTTATTTTAACACTGTAAACCTGGAAAATACAAACAAGGATCGTCCACTTGTCCCTAAACGTATGGTTCAGGAAAATTCCAACACACCAGTTGGACAAAAAGGGAGAGTTTGGCTTCGTCTAGAATGTCTGAAGTGTGTCCCAGATTTGGGGGAAAAATAATGGTAATTAACATCGCAGAAATTAACGCGCAACTTATTTAATAGGGCGGAAATTAACATTAAGATAAATTAACGCGAATATATTCACGTTAATTTCATAAAGCGTTAATTTCCTATAATAAGGTAATTCATTTAATCAGCACCATGACGTCGTATAATAGACCTTGTCACGGTTTTCGACGCCATCTTGACGAGTAGTCAAACGTGTGAGAAATTACAGTGTTTGTATGAGAATCTAATGTTGAATAATTTCCGTAAAAAGGCTGTTCTGAAAAAAATATCAATTGTAAACTAAAGCTACAAAGCAAAGGATTGTCCTAAAAAATTTGGGGGGCGTACCTGAGCTTAGATTTCTCCGGAGGCTTGCTTTAGATTCTCCATATATTTGTCTGTAATTTTCCCGGAACTTTCTCACAGACAAATGTATAGAAAATTTTAAAATGTGGTTCTAGGTCTTCTTGCGCATCTAACGCCCTCAATTTTTTCAGCAGAATTCTTAGGAGAGAAGCTTTAGTTTACAAATCATATTTTTGTCAGAACAGCCGTTCTACGGACATCATTCGACATTAGATTCTCATACAAACACTGTAATTTTTCACGCGTTTGCCTACTCGTCAAGATGGCGTCGAAAACCGTGACAAGGTCTATGATGACAATGGGCTGAAGATGTACATATCCAAGAAGGGGGGGGGGGGGGGGGGGGG